TATGATTACCTGAATTTTCATGAGCTTTAATGCGCGATCTCGCATTAACCCATTAACCCATCTCGTAACACCAGTTAAAGCATTTCCTCAACTTATACCAAATAATAAACATAGAACACGAAATACCGAATTCTCTTTCTGAATAGATTAACCACTCACGAGGTTGGATTTCTCTAATTTTCAAAGTCATGTTTGATGAACACGAATGAAGCTACTTTTCTGTTAATTTTAGATTTTTTTGTCAATTTTCATTTTTATTCAAAGTGATCGTGCTGCGCAGCTGTTTTAGAACCGAAATATCGAAGCGCTTGAGCGTCGCGTTGCAGTCTTAACGGTTTAACATTCTTTTTGAGCTTTATAAATCATTTAAATCGGATGCTCCGTGCTCTCGAGGGCGTGCACGAAAATTTGTATCACAACATACATGCACATACACATTTTTTCTAAGGTATGCGAAAAATCTCAAAAAGCCTTGAAACTTAACATCTTTCGGAACGATTTAACCTTGAAAAACTGTGCATAAATTAACTATTTAATTTTTATTGAAAAAAAAAACTTTTTTCATTTCAAAATTTTTTCATATTCTTAATAAATTCTTACACCTTGTTGATATGCACTTCATTTTTTTCTTCTTTGACGTTATATAAAATGGAGTAAATGTTTTGATCAACACTGCACCTAAGTGTATGTATAATATAATCTTCATTAGTTAAAGTGAATTCCTTGCAATCTATTTCATTTTCCATTAAAATGGCTGCACCGCCATAGCCACCAGCTGTGCCTTTGCGAAATATTTTATATCCGGAGACATTGTAAATTCTTTTAGGTTTTAGCGATGTTTTTTGTAATGCTGTTATGTAGATTTGATTTTTATAAATCAAGTGTTCCCGTTTGATGTTAATGATCTACAATTCAGTTTTAAAATTCATTTAATTCATTCATTTTATTAGAAAGAAATAAACAGTTTACTAGTTTTCTTACGATGGAGTTATTCTCACATGCTCTGCCTAAATTCTCGAATAAGCATTCTAATTTTATTTTAATCATCGTCATATATTCTTCTGTGTCTATGTCTATAACATACATATCTTTTCTCTTCATGTTACCAATAAACTTTATATTCTTATATGAATAATTTATTAACTTCCCGTAGGGTAAGTTATAGTAATCGCAAAAAAATCGAAAATGAAATTTTTTATATATCTTTACGTTTCAGAGGTTTCTGAACATTTTGGCATACTTTAGAAAAAATGGATGTATGTGTGTTTGTGTGTGTATGTATGTGTGTGTATGTATGTGCGGATACAAATTTTCGTCGACGATTTCGGGAACACGGATCAACCGATTTGAATAATTCAAAAAACACTCGATTCGTACTGATAAGGAGACGTGCTGATTAGTTTTTGGCGAAGTTAGGTCTAGCCGTTCCGAAGATACGGGGCAAAAAGTGCCGAAAACGGTAACTCAGTTTTTAAGAGAACGGAGCGTCCGATTTGAATAATTCAAAAAACATTTTACTTGTATTGGCAAGATGAAGAGTTGATAAAATTTTCATGAAGGCAGGTCTAGCGGTTTCGGAGATCTAATGAAAAAAGTAAAAAAAAATGCCATTCGGCGGTTAAAAATGATGATTAGACATATGCACATCAAATTATCAGATATTGTATAGAAATTTTAACAATAAGTATATTTTTTTTTTACATTTCTATGGGTTCCGTACCAATGTTTATGCGTTAGACGGCGGCGCGGCACTTGCGCTGTGACAATTCGTCTCTATGCAGTTCAAGCACTGCGATTGCTTTGAAAAAAAGTTCATAATTTCCAAAATATGTCAAAATGAAGAAAACATTTTTCTTTTCAAAAAAATAGTTTGTTTTCAAAAAAAAAATTTTTTTCTTTCAAAAAAAAATTTTTTTTTTCAAGTAAAAATTTTTTTTTCAAAAAAAAGTAATTTTTTGTCATATTCCTAGTTTCTCAATAATTATTTCGAAGTAATTTTTTTTCAAAAATGTTAATCGTTTTTAAAAACATAATAATTTTTGGTACGGGAAGTTCCCGCAATTTGCCTTAAGGCACGATGCCCTAATTGCCTTAAGACAGAATTCCACTTACAGCTAGTTTTCAACTTAATTGTCATCTTGTACAATACAATAGTTTTACTGCAATCGCGTGTGGACTCTACGCGCATTCTTTTTTTAGGGTTATATTTAAAAAATAAAAAATTTAACAAGTGAATCAAAATACTTACAGCTGATGAATCTGATGCTTGCTGATCATTACTTATAAATATTCTTGAATTTGTCACAGTAATTAATATAATATATTTAAAAAATAATCTAATACTTTGGTTACTGTATTTACATTAATAATATTCTGCTTAGTTTTCTTTTGTTTCAATGTCCTTATAAATGCCCATAGAGGAAAGTTAAAATTAATTATTGGCAGTATATAAGTGGTGTTTAGAACTTTAGCTACAATTAGAATTAAAATTCGAATTATTTTCGATATTCGTAAAAAGTAGAAATTAAAAAAAATCCCTTTCTTCTATTTTTAAAATGTAAAGATATGCAAAAAATTTCAATTTCGATTTTTGGACGAATAAAATAACTCATACTACGGGAAGTCAATAATAATAGTAGTTACACATTGGCAATAACTTACTTTTTATTTATATTTATAGTTAAATTAAATTAAGTTAATTTTTTTAAATTTCATTATTAATAATAAACGATTAAATTACGTCCGCTGAGCACATCCACCTTCTCTGTCTTTTGCTCCGAACAGAAAAGTACTAACGGAAGAAATTACCGCATCTTTTCTGGTGACGATTGATATTTCGTGATAATGATTTCTGGATCAATCATAATATTATTATTAATAATAATAGTTAATTAATAAATATTTAAATAAAACAATAACCTAGTTTCAGTTTCTCGAAAACTTTTTTTTCTCGCCTTTTATTTTACGTTCACACCCTCTGTATTGCAGCTGAACTTCTTTTTTTTTTAATAAATTTTCAATTATTTTATGGACATCTTTGACCGATCAACTAAAACTCAATATCACAAATAAATGTCTAAAGCAATATCATCACACATTCATCAGATGTCGGCCTAATTGTAGCCCGTAGCGGCGTCTCAAAGCGTTGCACAAACCTTGAGCACAGGGGTCTTCGATTCTTAAAATTATTTTGCCACTGGTACATGTTTAATACACCAATGCATTTTATTTAATTTGTGCATTGTTTTAACGAGGTGTTACATAATATGACGTGACGGAACAAATATGCTTATGATATAGTACATTTTTATACACAAAGTTTGTTAGGTGGATATTTTATTTAACAAATCAATCTTAAATTGCAAAAATATTATCAAAACATACTAATCATAAAAGTTGTGATAATATCTTACAATGTGTAAAAAGTTATAAAATATCAAACACTTAGAAAAGGAAACACATATTTACTTCTTTATTCGCACAAGGCTAAAATCGGAATAAATCAGAACAATTCCTAAAACGGATATAAAAATGAAACATAGGATATTTTAACAGTGGTACCAATATATAGAACATAAAAAATATTCACTTAAAACACAATAAAGATACTAGATGGCGCTACTATTAATATGAATATACAACATCCTGCGCGCGCAAAAAGAATGATATTATCTTACATATCAAATTATACAATGTCATAAGATGTCACAAGCCAAATAACTATAGTAATACATTTTTAGTTACATTAATTTAAGCTAGGATATATATACAAACTTAGTGCTAAGTATTTCATTTGACAGCTGGGTATAATATGAATTTTATATTTTATCATATTGACATAACTTAATAAAATTCAATAATGTGTCAACTTAACCTAATTCCAATTTTAAATTTATTTATGATTTTAAAAAATTAATCCTAAATATCTCATTTCAATTCTAATCTAGATTTACACACTTAATTATTGTCTATATCAATTAAAGGAATCAATTTCACAATAGGTAGCGCATGTAGTCCTTGAGTGGTTTTGATAGTGGCCACACGAAACTTGTCATCTGACTATCCGACCTACTGGTCAGTGTGGTGGTGCAACATGGTCCTCTTTTATTAAGACTACCATATCAACTGCTAGGTTGTCCAAGGATGCAGTCCATTTTGCCCGCTTCTGTAGCTCTGCTAAATATGCCGTAGACCACAAGGTCCCAAACCTATCTCTCATCGCATTTAACTGTCTATGTATGTTTAATTTATTTCTTAGGGCAGTACTATCTACTACGGGTTCAGGAATAGCAGTCATAATATCACCTGTGAGAAGGTGACTAGGGGTTATAAACACAGAATCAGTTATATCATTTACTGGAATTATGGGTCTTGAATCGATTATTGCTTCCACCTGATTCAAGAATGTTAAATACTCTTCATAAATTAGACAAGTTGTGCTCCGGTTTAAGTAGTGCTTCATTGTTCTGATGTTCCGTTCCCATAGTCCTCCAAAATGTGGTGCATGTGACGGTATGAATTTCCAAGTATTTATGTTTGGAACGCCCTCAATGAGTTGTTTTTTATTATTATTTTTAAAATATTGATAGATTTTATCTATTATATTACTGGCTTACCTACACAGGTTTGACATTTTTCTCTTCGAGATATGAAACATTTATATGTTGTGCACTTTTTAATTATATTACTACTTCTTTTATTTATAGGCGAATACTTCTTTCTTATATTCATCAGTATGGCTTGAATGTCAGCATGCAATATTCCAATGTGCTTCTGTTGTAACGTCAAGTGTCTCATATGATGTCTCTTCAGAAGAATTATCCGATGTTTCTTTACATATGATATCAGTGATTGGCCTAGTCTCCCACCTACTCGTAGAAGTCCTCCCGCATTAACAAAGAGAATTAATTAATTTCAATTTTCAAATCTTCAAAGTCAAGTGATGATCCTTGCTTATTATTCGAAGTTCTTTTGGTTTCTTCATCTATATCAATTTTTATTTATCTGCACATCTTTACAGTATCACTTATAAAAACGTGCTTCCAACAGCGAAATCTGATTAAAATAGATATTAGTTCTTGCTGCAATTTTGGTCCAGTATGCAGTGTATCATTCAGCAAAACCCTACTTGAACTTTTTGTAGCAGCATCAAAAACAGCTCGCAACTTCGTTGAGCCCCATTGCTTGATAACTGGGTGGTGTGGTAAATAATAATGTGGATGATTAAGTTCTGCTATTGGTACTGGTACTGCAGATCCTAATTTTAAATATTTGTTCATGATTTTTATGTCTTCATTTCTTTTAAACCGCTTTACTAGGTTTATAAGGCGAGATGTTGCAATCTGTAAAGGATCTCCTAATTCATTTTTTTTATCTAGTTTAAATGGCAATGACACTATGTATCTTCCACTTTCTGTACGACTGACAGTCTTTGAGAAGTACTCTTCACATACCTTCTCTGACCCATGGATTGTTGGCTCTAATACTTCTTCCAAATTCCAGAACTTGGTGATGGCTTCATGCAGTTGTACATTTGATACAAATCCAACATAATTTGAATTTGTTTGTTGCTTGTATGCACCAGATAGTACCCATCCAAACAAGCTGTTTCTTAAAATTGGTAATTTGTATCCTTATTTAATTACATCTTTCTGCAAAATTTCGAAGAATAGTTCGACTCCAATTAACATTTGAATTGGGCCAGGGCTTGCAAACATTGTGTCAGCTAAAAGCACTCCTTTAGGAATTTTCCAGTTTTCAATATTGATTTTTGATGTCGGTAGATCGCTTGTTATGTTGTCCATCACTATGCAGTTGATCCTTCTTGAAAATGCAGAGATATTGAATTTAATTTCTACTGCCACAGTGTTATAGCTAGTCAATGATCTTCCTTGTAATACCTTCATTGTATTTACATCACCTTTCAGAGGGAGAGCTAATTTGTCCGCTAGATCCCTCGTTATTAAATTCACTTGTGATCCGCTGTCTAGCAGAGCCCGTACAATATGTGGTCTATTTTGTGCATCCATAATTGTAATTGCAATTGTAGCTAGCAGTACATTAGTTGTGTTGTCTGGCTGCGAAAACATAACATTTGCAGTGCTTTACTTGTCCGGAGTCTCAGCAGTTTGTTCCACGTGTAACGATGTATGGTGATCCCTGTCACAAGTTTTGCAATATAATTTATATTTACATGGTTTCAACGGATGTGCTGATTCCAGGCATCGTTCACAATAATTTGAGCTCTTCAGGAAGTCTTTTTACTTTGCTAAGCTGTTCATCTTAAATTTAAAGACGCATATTTTTGATTTGCTAGGTTTTTGAGTGACAACATTATTAATGTTGTTCTTGCTTCCAGTAAATTCAGTTTTACTTGATTTAGCTGCATTTTCCAAAGCACTTGCCCGGTTCTCTTAAAAGGTGTAGAATTGGATTAGTGATGGCAGTTCACGCATTTCTCGAGCTAAACCCCAAGCTATTCTTGTTCCGTGATCCAATTTGCTGCATAAATTGAATATGATCATCAAATCCCAGTGCTTAGTGTCTTCATGGATTGTAGCTAATGCCTGTGTCAAATTATCATACGAACCTTTGGTGCATTGAGGTATATCTTGCAATGCTTGTAGATGTGAGTTTATTATAACAAATTTATTGTTATATCTTTGAAGTTCATGTCATACGCTATGGAGTAGTTATTGTTAGTCATTGATAGATTGCTGATTAGGTTGGATGCTGGTGGTACAAGAGTCCCTTTTAAGTAATGCAATTTCTGTACATTCGAAAGGCTGTCGTTATTATGAATCAAGGATTCATAGATAACCTTAAATTCATTTCACATGATGTAGTCTCCATTGAACTTGGGTAGTACGACGTCTGTTAACTTTATTATTTGTCATGTTTGTACTCTTTTTTTCTTAAATTGCTGTGGTCCCTAAATGCTCTTCTATGCTCGCCAAAATGTCAAAATGTAAATTGAATAAAATTTTGTATTCCTCGGCATGTTGACCTGGCTGTAGCGTACTTAATTTTTTGTTGTTTTTCTCAAGATGTTTGAAATTATCTATTAATTTTTCTTTACGATGTACTAGCCCTATAACATTATCACCGGTTTTGAAATTCATTACATATTTTTGGATAATAAGCATTAAGAATTTGCTTTTCGCCCTTTGAATCACAAGGCTTCGACCTCCATTTTGTTGAATTAGCTTCTTTGTACTATTTTTACTGGCCGCCAATAAAACTGACCCAAAATATTACTTTTTTATGTTAAATATAATGTAAGAGACTTTGTCTAATATTTTCAATTGGTTGCTATTAAAACTAACCAAATAAATATCACCTTGAATGTACTCTGTTAATTGATTCTGTGCTATATACCCGAATTATGACCACGTGTTATGAATGCTATATAACCCGAGTATTATTTTACCTATTCCCTACTATTATTGCTATTGCTATTATTAAACATACTGTTATGCGCCGACACCCTTACCTTTTTCCGTCGCATTTATGCTGCGATGTACATGCTCATTACTCTATCTATGGACTATATCTATCTCTTGAGTTCCACTCACTATTCTATGGACCCTATATTTCCGACTAGACAGAGGACCCCTACAAGAAAACACAAGGACCAGTCTCTTTCCAACTGTACGTCAAGACACACATAGCCTTATAATAAACTTTAATGAAACTTTGTATAATTAATCCTGTAATAAATTTATAAAAACTTGTGGTGTGTTTAAAAATATCAAATTACCTTCATCGCTAAAGGCAAATATATAACAATACATAAGTTTTAAAAATGCTCAAGATGGTTTATAAATACCTCGTGGTTTTGCTATTTTCAATCTCTGCGTCGTCCTCGTGGTAGGTTGCTGCAATCGGCCTGTGCTTTTTGTTTGTGATAGCGAAAAGCTCATTTTTCTTCTTGTATGTGGACTGTAGTTTTGCACTGATTATTTTTATTTTAACACCGTCGGTAAGGACCAGTGTAAAAAGTTTATGAAATATTAACCACTTAGAAAAGGAAACACGTATCTACTATCAAAAATTACTTCTTTATTCGCACACGGCTCAAATCAGAATAAATCAGTATAATTCCTAAAACGGATATAAAAATGAAACATAGGATATTTTAACAGTGGTACAAATATATAGAACATAAAAAATATTTACTTAAAACACAGTAAAGATACTAGATGGCGCTACTATGAATTTGAATATTCAACACAATAATATAAACGTAAGGTATAATAGTTTTCCGCTAATAATAGAATATATATCGTAATGTTTTTTTTTACAAACGCGATAATATTACTTCTATATTACTTTTGGTACAATATTAGTTTGAGATTAGTGTACATTAGATAAATCGGGTACAGAACAAATATGGAATTCAGAGAAAAATATAAAGTTTTAAATGATATTGAATTTTAAAGTGTTTGATGCGTGAAAGTTATATTATTTATTTTAGTACTCTATGTATTTATTCCAAAATAAATACAACTTCCATTAGTTTTGCTCTTGGTTATAATTGACTTCATTGTTCGGCAATGTTTAGTTCTTAATAATAGCTTCGAAGTTTTTAAAACGTGATGTTAGCACTTATTTGATTATTGACACTTTGCCTGCTGATAATTGGATTAGTTCATTTATTCAAAATCTTTTTTATTTAACACACGCCACCTTTGAACTCTAAGGTACCCAGCTGACATGATTACTCTAAACGGCGATCAAATGTGATTTAGAAACAAGTCATAAAAAATTGACTGACTGAATGTGTGCACAGACAAGCATCGATACTACCACAGCCAAGTGTGGCTGACGACTGAAACCAAAATACTCGAATCATGCCGTACATAACCGAACGAAGGTCAATCTTGGTCAAAGTAGGGTAACCAAGGCTGGCTTATACAGTCTTCGACCAAGCATAGATAATCATTGAACGGCCAAGGCTGGGTTAGCCTATCGTAGCCCAAGTATGGATAATCATTGGCATGACCAAGGTTGGGTTACACAGTCTTGGTCAAGTCTAGGTAATCATTGGCATGCCCGGGGCTGGGTTAAGTAGCCTGGCCTATGCATGGGCCAATACTGGTATGCCGAAGCTAGGTTTTCCATTACTGACCCTAGCTTGCCCCTTCGTCAAGTCTTGAGTCTCCTACATGGGTGTTCCATCAATGTTCCAAATAGGAAATAACTTTTTTTATTTTGGTCGCTATTAGATTGAGTCCTACTTTTAGATATTCTAAAGAAAGCTGTTTTCAGTCATGATTCTTTGTTTATCTTTTATTCGCACTGGTAAAATTTGAGCAATGTACCAAATTTTAGCCAGTTCAAACAAAATTACATTATTATTCAATTAAGGCGGTCTCAATACTTATAGATGAAGAAGCATAACAAGTGATAGCATTTTATAAATTTTGAACAATAAACAATGGACTGTATTAATGAAAGATGAACAGAAGAATAAATATTTAACTTAATAAGAATAATACGAATTAAATGAACATAATAACAAGAAAGATAGACATCCTAATTCTAAATAATTTGATCAACAGGTAATCAATATGCAATAAATACAAGGATCATTATTCTAATTAATTAAATATTATAACTAAGGTCAGTAAAGAAAAAATGTTAACGTTATAATGACAATGATTTTCAATGCCAATGATTGTGACAATAAAACTTCTTTATTTTTAAACTCCTCAAACCATGGTTTAAACGATAAACAGTCATTAAAGAATTTGTTATGCCTTTTCTTTGCGATGTTTTTATCCATATTTCTTTCCACCTCTCCTCTGATTTAATTTTCTTAATTATGTCACCATATAAGTATATTTATTATGTTTTTGTCCGCTTCCACTTGCTGTTTTTGCCAGTCCATCTGCCTTTTCGTTTCCTTCAACCTATTTATATAGGTGGGTACAAGGATCATATTGAATGGGTACAATGTCATCCTTGTGTTCATCCTATATTTGTTATTTCCAATCCCTGTAATTATCTCTATATCATTTAACATTTCAAAATATATTTTTTCTTCCAATTCTATTGTATTCATGAACTTCTCTAATTTATTTACACAACTTAAACTATCTATTAAAATCATAGTTTTTTTATACTTTTTCATTTTAGCTATTCTAACAGCTTCACGAATAGCTATTAATTCTGCCGAATAAATGGAAATAAATTCAGGGTGTTTATAACATATGGGTATTTTTCCTTTCATTCCATATTGCACATCCAACTCTATCGTGTTTTATCCATTTTTTTAACTATAATTGTTTTTTATCATAATACAATTTTTCATAATATGGATGAACCACATGGACTACATTAAATTTCCTAAAATCCTTTAAAAATTGAAAACTGCTTAGAATATCTGGTTCTTTTTTGTTTATCCAATATGTGCTCCTGTCCATACCTCTCCATATTTCCATCAGTTTGTAATTCAACACAGATTTCTAAAGGCATTTTTCCACTTTCCAATTGTAATACATTTGTTGGTGTTGACTTTATTGCTCCTATACATATTCTAAGACATCGATATTGAATCTTGTCCAAATCTTGAATTTTTTTACTGTTACTGAATATCCAAGAGCCATAATCTAATTTTGGTCAAATTAATACGCTATAAAGGTTTAATGTTTAACTTGAATGTAAACCATTCAAAGTTTTATTCAATATTCTTAATATATTCATACTATTTTCTGTCTCTTTTTTAATATTTTCTATATGTATCTTGAATGCTAACTTTTGATCTAGATAAATTCCTAAAAAATTATTTATATCTTGAACTTTTATATTATAATTTTTTCTTTGAATGCTTGTTCGAAAATTTCTTTTATTATGTCTAGTGAATATTGTAATCGTAATTTTTTCTTCTGATATTGTTAAACCATTTTTGCTCAACCATAAATCAATATTCTTTGTCATAATCTCCGAAGCATATCTTTTAATGTTTTCCTTTCTACATAAATCACAACATCATCAGCATATCTTTGTTCCAGGTACCCAAATTTTTTCTAAGTCATAACAATTGATGCATATAATAAAGAACTTAGTACTCTTAGTAAGGGGGTATCCTTGCGGAAGTCATTTGTATAAGGGTCATTCTTTTACAAATCGTACGGATTTTGGTAAAAAAAATGTGACATTTTCTCATTTTTTATGAACTTTCTCTGCATTATGTTAATTATCTTCAGTTGTGTTGATCAGATCAGTATTGTTTATTTTATTATATTCATTAAGAACTCAACTTTTAGGTCATTTAAAAAAATGTTTTTGTAATTATTTTAACAATAATAATTGATTGTTTACATTGGTTTTACATACGGGCGCCCCAACTTAAATCGATTTCATAAAAAATCATATTGTTTCTTGTTTTATCTACTACAAAATTGTTTTTGCAATTCGATGGGAAGGCTGTAACATCGAAAGATATTAAATCTTTTGTCCGTTTGAAACACGCATTGCGCGTACAAGTACTATTTTTAACAAAAATATTTTACAATTTTTTACTGAGGAAAAATAAATATATTATCTAAAATATGTAGTAGCAAATGTTCATATTTTTGAAACTGATAAATTGAAACTTATTATTTGTTGGAATATGAACAAAAGTTAAAAATAATTGTCTTGGGTAGGTTTGATTTCGTTAAAAAATAAATACAAGAGAATTCGATTGAAAAAGAATATATTTATTGCATTATAATTAAGTTTATATAACATAGCTTCTGTCGATGTACTACATAATATACATTTAAAGTTACAACTTTAACCAGTTGAAAAACAGTTGAGTCGCTTCTTTTTGCGAAGAAAAGTTCTTGGCACTTTATTTTTTTCAAGAGGTATAATACAAAGTTATTCAATGCACTTTCACTGTGACTGCATTTTTAAATTTTGCCTTCCATTTTTTATCGGCAACAATATATTCTTCATTGGTTACATATTTCGAAAAAATGTTGCAAAGAGACTCATTTGCCCATTCAAATAATTGTTTTGGCGTTTGGATTGGATTTGATGTTCTTTGAAGACTAGCTCTGGCAGCTAGCCTTTTCAAAGTACCACCCAATCCATCGCAAGCGCCCTTACCGTGTGACGTTGGAAAAAAGTGCCACTCTGCAACCAGACCAAAATCTTTTTCGTGGTAAGTAAGTTTTACAAAATTCTTTTTATTTTTATACTGCACACCCGACCCATCAGAAAAGTATATGATTTTTGTAATTTGCTTCAATTTTTTACCAATGAACTCCACTAAATGTTTTTGAAATACATAAGCCGCTACAGTGACGTGTTGCAGACATTCTGAAATAATTACTAAACTTTTAACACGAACATTATCGTCACTATCTTTGTAATAAATTGCAAATGGATGCACCGTAGCCTGGTTATTATTCCAATGAAAGCCTTGAGCAGCATCTTGGGCAACGAATGAATAATTTTCTGAAAAATCATACACTACGATGCATTCATTCATTCTGTGATAGTTCTTCCTTTTTTTGTCATAAATTCATTTTGTTTTTTTACAAGAGACGAATGTAATAATAATTTTTCCAAAGTGGCCTGCAATTTTTGTAGATATTCGACTACTGGGGATATCATTAATTGCAACATAGTTCTATCAACGTTAGTCCACTCTCTATATCTAATTTCGTCAATATAATTTTCTTCAAAAATATTTTCTAAATTTGTGATCAAATTTTCAAGGCCAGGACACTGGGAGCATTTTCCAAAATAACAATTATTCGTGGGTTCTACACAAATCATATTTTTAAACAGTCATGATAAGATTTCACTGGATCATTAGTGTGGGCAGTAAGATTTTTTATGTCAGATCCTTCAATCATCAATTTAACATTTTCGTGAATGGTACATACACACACTGAATGGGTGCCACTAGCACCCGCCAGAACGCAATGTTTAGGTCGTATAGACGCAAATTTCGAGAAGCTGCATTTCTTTTCTGGATATATTTTTTTAAACAATTGAAACAATTTCTTCAAATTTATTAACAGTAATCTTTTCTGCATCCAAACTCGTTTACCATCAATTTTAACAGAAACGAAATCCTTCTTCCCCGGCATTACACGACTATTCTCATCTAATTCATAAAAATTAGTTACAATGTCAACTATCTCTTTGTCTAAAGACGGATGGCACTTTGGGGTTGTATCGGACAAAATACCCTTGTCAATAGCCATTTTTTGCTGTTTTAATCATGTGATTAGTAGCTAGTGGAAAATGATGTTGAATTTTTCGATAAGACCAATCCTTGAAAAGAGTCGACATTTTCATTCTTTTCGAACGATCCGTAGTTCTGTTAAATTCTTCTTTTAAAACGTTTAGCAAATATTTTTCATCATTTTCTTCAACATTACGATCATCTTGTGTAGTTACAGGATGATGAAAATTTTTATTTGCCAGTGCTTCCGATACATTAATCATTTTATCGTTTGAATAACGCCATTGGGATTTTTTTTTCTTTTTAATAGGCAAAACTCCTAACAGGTTCAGTAAATCGATTGCAACAGGTACCACTGAATCATCTTCAAATGGTACATCGAAATTTGCGGAAAAAAGTTCTTTGTCATTCTCATCAGTTTGCAACAAACCATCAGACTCAAAAGAATTGTTTTCTTCATTCTAAAAAAAATTTATTTTATGTGACGTTTAACTTTACTATTTGTATGTAATTACCGAATTAGCTAAACTATAACAAAATCATTAATATTTACATTTTTTGGCCGTCTTTGTAAAATTTAACACATTTCTGGCGACAACTATCACAGATTTTTTGTTGAAGTGACTTGTTTGTAATCGGCAAGTTGAGAACCACTAAATGTTTGTCTAAAACTGTACGAAGACCTTTTATTTTTCGATGACGACACAAATCGAATGGATTGAAACATCGATAACTTCTTATTCTGTCCCCGCTTGATGTTTTATTATTTTTTGGTATTTTGAAAAATATCTGAGTGAATAAACGAGAAACTTATGTTACGCTTTCCAACTACTGAATGACAATGATTTATACAACATGCAAAATGCAAGTACTTACACAAGCTGCCGGTTGTGCGGTGAGTCTTTCAAACGAACGCGCGGCGCGTGACTTGCGCTCGAAAACATTTAATATCTTTCGATGTTACAGCCTTCCCATCGAATTGTAAAAACAGTTTTGTAGTAGATAAAACAAGAAACAATATGATTTTTTACGAAATCGATTTAAGTTGGGGCGCCCGTATGTAAAACCAATGTAAACAATCAATTGTTATTATTGTTAAATTAATTACAAAAACATTATTTTTTTTTAAATTACTTCAAAGTCGAGTTTATAATGAATATAATAAAAAAACAATACTGATCTGATCAACACAACTGAAGATAATTAACATAATGCAGAGCAAGTTCATAAAAATTGAGAAAATCGGCAATATTTCAATCGTAAATATCAACGAAAAAAATTTTTGCCGGCAAAATCCTGAAATACGTGTCAAATGATTTTATCTATAATTAGCTGACCCGGTGAACTTCGTATCACATAAATAATCATTAATAAAATTTAATTAAATCTTGTATACGAAATAATTAACACATTTGAATAGAATTGATGCGAAGGTTTCATATATACTATATTTTTATTCTCAAAAATACCTATTTTTTATATCTCATATATAAAATATTTTATACATTTGCTTATGAATCGAATGTTTTGGAATCAATATAAAGCTTTTTTGTTGACAATATTTTTGGTCTTTTTTTGCGGTGCGTAAATGAATAAGGATGATGATTTCCCGACGCGCGAACACGCAACGTATAATTGGCCGTGTGCAAAACATGGAAACTCTAAGTTGATACCGCAAATCTGCAGCGACTGTCCTTGCGATTAATTGATGCTCATTGCAAAAGCGAGGCGTATTGGAAATTGTAAATTTTCAAATTCGTTCATCAAATGGTAAATCCGTTGGGATCATAGGAATTCGCGGAATTAATACATTTTGTCCCTTGTATTTTCCTTTAATGATTTTTGCCACAATTACATTATTCATTAGCGTTTTCACAACCAATCTTGTTCCATTGCATAGTATGGGCTGATTTAAATTACGTAGCATGATGACAACTGATCCTACTTTCAATTGTAAATTATGTGGTGGCAGCCTAGGCAATTCTAATGAATTTAGAAATTCTGTAGGATAGTTGAGTATGTCATCCTGATTTGTAGCGGTGTCTACAGATTTATAAGTAAAGCATTCCCCTGGAAGTAAACTTTGTATTGTTGCATTGAGATCATCGACATTTTTGTTTTTCGTCGCCAATATTGCTCGTTCGGTCAGTCAATTGGGATCGTGAAATTGTTGGTTTATATCTGGAAATACGCATTGAATAAGCTCCTCCTTTGTGTTTGTGAAGTTGCAAAAATCTGCGGGAAATGTTATTAACCCGTTCGAGGCATCAACTGCGACATTACCATTTTCAATATTTAGTAACTGCTTTGAAAACACTTTCGCTGTTTCATCTTGTTGCAAAACCACTCGCATGTTCGTTGATAACTGGAGTTTCTTAACATGACGCCACCAATTTGATGATTTTAAGCTTCGTCGTAGTTTGTCAGCAACAGTTGATCGCGGTATAACTGGAAGAGTTTGGCGAAAATCACCTGACAACAAAATCATTGCTCCACCAAAAATATTTTGATTGTCACGTAAATCTTTCAATGTTCTGTTCAGTGCTTCCAGTGATCTCTTGTGGGTCATTGTACATTCGCCCCAGATAATCAATTTGCATGTCTGAAGTATCTTGGCTATGGCGCTAGTTTTTCTGATGTTGCAAATTCCGGTGTTCCTTTTTTACGGCGTTGGAACGACTTTGATGATGCGTTCCATATGTAATAGCGCGGCATATCAGCATACATCAAAGTACGGGCGAAATATTCTCTTTGACAAATTGAAAAGAAGTTTGTTAATGTTGTTGGAGGTGGATGCGCCGCTCTATCAACAGCATTAACGGGGTTAAAATGTACTCTTTGTCCATTTTCTAAATGGACTGCCAGATGGACTACAGATTCATGTATTGGAAAAGAAAAACTTCTCAAAATTGCTTCATTGCTTCATTGCAGAAACTTCATCATTTGTTTTAGCAACAGCGAACATGGCCATGTCACTACCTTTGTTAATATATTTGCATATATATTTTATTGACTTGACAGAGTTACAAAATTCTACATTGATGTGTGCTTGAAAAGTTTTGGACAATATCGGGGAGTTCGGCATAATCCATCGGTTGTCAACATATAAATCTCGTCCTTTTACCTTCACAACTACATATTGCCCACCGTCCGCAACTGATTGCCTACGATACAGCGGATAACCGTCATTTCCAGTAATGGTTTCAGAAGTTAGATTTCTCGGGTATCGTTTAGAGCACTTGCCGTCAATCATACAGGTCGAGTTATTGTTGAAAACTCCGCAAGGTCTATGTATCATATGTTTAGTAATTATTGCATGCAAATTTGGATCAGCATTTTTATTAGGAATCTCTGCTGATATGACTGAATCAATATCATCTGGCCTCATTTTGTCAATTAACCAGACTAAGATGTGCGCATGTGGAAGACCACGCTTTTGCCACTCAACAGAGTACATCCAGTAACGTACTTGGCCTATATACATGATGCTTTATTATGAAATTGTGTATGAATAAAAATTCATAGCGCTAACTTTTTTATTGGTTTCAGCACCTAAAATCACAAATAATAATGTTAACTCTACCGTATTTATTATAAACACAATGTTCCCTTCGTCACTTTATTTACTCAACTACACTACGTTCTCCATTAAACGCATTATATACTATTGTTTTACATATTACCCAACGTCTACTAGATTCCTGTCATCTATTGATAGTTAACATTCGGCTATCCTGATCAATTCTCGTCCTCGAGAATGTAGTTTTCGAATTTCTTTAGTCATTTTCATTGCCTTTGGTCATTCCCGAGTTACCATCACTCCCAATTATTTACCACTTTGTATTTGGTGTCCTTCTTATTTCTTCTCGGATGAAATCCATGTTCCTTTCTCTTCTCTATAACTGAACGCTTTGTATTGTATTTTGTATTGTATTTGTATTTGTATTGCTAATGGACTCTTCACAACTCAATGACTTTTCACAAGTGCAACTCGACTTTTCTCGATTGCACTCTGCACTGATGGACTCTTCACGATTACTATAGGATTCTTCACGATTAGACTCATCACTAATGGACTCTTCACTATTGGGCTCTTCACGATTACAGCAGGATTCTTCACGATTGGACTGTTCACTAATGGACTCTTCACTATTGGGCTGTTCATAATTACAATAGGATTCTTCACGATTGGACTCTTTACTAATGGACTCTTCACTATTGAGCTCTTCGCGATTACAACTGGATTCACGATTGGACTCATCACTAATGGACTATTCACTATTGGGCTCTTCACGATTACATCAGGATTCTTCACGATTGGACTCATCACTAATGGACTCTTCACTATTGGGCTCTTCACGATTACATCAGGATGCACGATTGGACTCATCACTACTGGGCTCTTCACGATTACATCAGAATTCATGATTGGACTCATCACTACTGGGCTCTTCGCGATTACATCAGAATTCACGATTGGACTCATCACTAATGGACTCTTCACTATTGGGCTCTTCACGATTACATCAGAATTCACGATTGGACTCATCACTCATGGACTCTTCACTATTGGGTTCTTCACGATTACATCAGGATTTACGATTGGACTCATCACTACTGGGCTCTTCACGATTACATCAGAATTCACGATTGGACTCATCACTAATGGACTCTTCACTATTGGGCTCTTTACGATTACGACAGGATTCTTCACGATTGGACTGTCCACTAATGGACTCTTTACGATTAATTCACTAATGGACACGATTAGACTGTTCACTAATGGACTTTTTACTACTGCGGTCTTTGTTAAAGCACTTGCCTCTAATGGAATTTTTATTTCCTTAGCCTTAACAATTTTATCCTTAAGCGCTAACTCTAATGCACCTACATCATCATCATCATCTACCTTCTCCATTTCCTCATAGCACACTCCTATTTGCTCTCTCCCTACTGGCGCAATACAATCATCGGTCTGTCTGAGTAATCCCACTTCTGAATTATTAACTCTACCGTATTTATTATAAACACAATGTTCTCTTGGTCACTTTATTTACTCAACTACACCCTAGACAATATTAGAATACCCGTGTTCATACACTACGTTCTCCATTATACGCATTATATACTATTGTTTTACATATTACCCAACGCCTACTAGATTCCTGTCATCTATTGATAGTTAACAATAATATAGATATTGAGTTAAAAAATATTATTTAATTACGTTTATAATTGCCTGTTATTGGATTAACCATTTTGACATTAAAGTGGTGGCCATCTTCTCCCTCCGAAGTGGTAGCGTTGCTCCGAAAGATGTCATTTGGAAGCAATTATTATATTTCTGGATGTTGGATAAGATGTGTTTAGAGTCATTGGTCATTCCAAAAATTAGTGAGTGTAATGGATCAGGTGGTGGTACCAATTGTGGCAACTTCACCTTACCGCGAGCGCAACATAGTCCTGCAGATTCACCATTGTATTTTAAGGCTTTACAGTGCTGACAAATGATCGACATGTCTCCAATTTTTACAAATTTGTGGGCACTGTCATCTATTTCCGGATCATAAGAGAATGCTGCTCGCTCCAGGTTGACTGAAGCATTGCTTCTGCGAATTCGAGAAGTTTCATTTTCGCGTGCTCGCTGCTGTTGCGATCGATTTGCAGCAACTTGTTCTCTAAACTCAAGTAAATCTGTCATTCAAAATCATTTTATTTTATTATGATAAGAATAATATCCATGTAATAATTATAAAAAATCTTATTAAATATAAAGCAAAAACTGTTAATATATAATAAGAATTAGTGGATTTTGTAACGAATTTTATTATAAACATAAAGATAAAATTGCTAGTATTGTAATTACATTTTTGGAAAATGAAGTAGTTATATTAAAAATTATCTTGAAAATATATATACATATTTCTAACGCTAGTATCATTAATATTTTATTTGCATTTAAATTGTAGAAATTGTAGAAAATTATTTATAATTGCTTATGTAAGAAATTTTTCACATTTTTCATATCTTTGATACATATTCGGTGTACACAGTAAAATATCACAATCTTTCTGCTAAAATGTATGATTTAATTTAAATAATTTAAATTTAATAATTTTAATCAATATGTTAAACAACATCTTCATTCTTACATTTATCAAAATATATAGTGTTTCTGACGTTGTCCCGATGCCTTTGAGGACTTCTTCTATCAACATATGATGAATTATTATTAACTTTTAAAAATTGTTTATCTTCATTTGTCTCCAAATTGTTTAAAAGTTCCCTGAATTCTTGCATTTCGTTAAAAATGTTCTCAAGACTTCTTTTAACTTTGTTCAGTTTTTTGTTGATTTCTTCTTTCGTTTTAGACATTTTATAAGAAATATTTTTAAAATTAAATAATGAAAATTACTGTTCAATATCTGCTTGCAGACTGAGTAAAAATTGAACTGATTGCAATCTGGCTATCATTATTATCAGTCTCCATCTGCCCATCAGTGCGGTTATTACGCGAATTACGTTTGTGCGGTGGTCCCACATAAAAATCAAGACACTACAATTATAAATGAAAAATAAAGTTTATTACAAAATAAATATAATAATTTACACAGTCTTCTTGGGTATTCTTCGGTTGGACTTCCTAGTTTTTCCAGGTGTTGACTAATTTGGCGCTGCTGCTTTTAATGTCTTCTTTAACAGAAGCTCGAATTCCTAATAAAATAATTGGTAGAGAATCCATCCATGACGGGTCTGCATGGCACATGAGGGCTGTTTTCAGGGCCTGTGTGCATTTTCAATCAATCCATTCGATTACGGGTGATATGCTGTAGTAGGAGTGTGGGAAATTCCTAGTAGTTTGGTTACGCCTTGAAAAACAGCTGAACAGAATTGCCGTCCTTGGTCGCTTGTTACTTGAGATGGAGCACCAAAGCGTGAAATCCAAGAATACAAGAAAGCCCAGGTTACACTTTCTGCGGTAATATCTGATAGAGGAAAAACTTCAAGCCAACGTGTGTAACGGTCTATAGCGGTAAATGGGTATTTGAAGCCTTTTGATTGTGGAAGTGGTCCGACAATGTCAATGTGAACATGCAAAAATCTGGCGGGTGGCACTTTGAACTCTCCAAGTGGTGTGACTATATGCCGAACAATTTTGGAGCGTTGACATGAGATGCAGCTTCGAGCCCAGGTTCTACAATCCTTGCGAATGACAGGCCAAACAAATCTATCCGTGATGAGTTTAGTTGTGGTTTTTAGACCTGGATGAGATAGATTGTGCAGAGTATTAAAAATGTGTCGTCTTTGTTCAGCAGGAACATAACGCGATGCGTTTCAGGTTGAGAGCAATATCTGATTTTAAGAGCGTTACAAGTTCTTCATCTTCGTCTTGCGATTTAGCAATAACGGAGTGATCCAAAGGCGATGTTATGGCTTCTGCTCTTGAGAAAGCGTCGGCTACAATGTTTTGTTGTCCACTAACATAGCGAACATCTGTTGTAAACTGTGACAAGAAACTTAACTGATTTAATTGTATTGGCGGCAGCTTGTCTTTTTGTTGGGAAAAGGCGTGAATTAAAGGTTTGTGGTCAGTAAACCAAATGAAATGTCTGCCTTCCACTAAGCTTCGAAAATCTTGCACTGCTTCGTATCCAGCCAAAAGTTCTCGATAATATGCTGGCCAAAGTTGTTGTTTCTCAGATAGTTTTTTTGAAAAGAAGCCCAAAGGTTGCCAAGTGCCATTGATGTACTGCTGTAATACTTCACCGATAGAATGGTTGAATACATCGCTAAATAATGCTATTTGAGCATTTGGAATAGGGTGTGCTAGTAATTTTAGCCAATTATTTCTTACAAGTCTCGAAGTTATCTTGAAGCTGTGGGGTCCAAGAAATTGGTTGTGATCCAGATTTGGTAGATCCTGAGAGCAGCTTGTGTAGCGGAGCAAGAAATTCAGCTGTGAAGAATAAACTTTCGATAATAATTAATCATTCCTATGAAGCGTCGCAGCTTTGAGTAGGTTGCCGGTAGCGGACATTCTTGGAGATCGTTGATACGGTCTGGTGGTGGCAAAGTTCCATCTTTAAAAATTTCATAACCAAGAAATGTAACTTTGGGTGCACCTAATAAGCATTTCGCTGGATTTATGACAACGCCGTGGTCTTTCAGGCGTTGAAATAATTGGCGGAGATGATCTTGGTGTTCTTCTAGCGATGTAGATGATATAAGAATATCATCTAGGTATGCGTAACAAAAATCCAGATCTTGTGTAACCTCATCTATAAATCGCTGAAATGTTTGTGCTGCAGTCCTTAGTCCAAAAGTCATATACGGGAACTTAAACAGCCCAAAGGGTGTTATTATTGCTGTTTTTGCAATATCATCAGGGTGGATTGCAATTTGCTGAAAGGCTTTCACTAAGTCGATCACTGAAAATATAGTACATCCAGCTAAATTATGGGCGTAGTCAGCAATATGACTAACAGGATATTTGTCTGGAATTGTGCGTGAGTTGAGCAGCCGATAATCTCCGCATGGACGCCACGTCGAATCCTCTTTCAGATCCAAGAACTATCGGAGGGTCTTGCAATGCCTAATTCTATCATATTCTTAAATTCTTCTTTGGCTACGCGAAGTAATTCTGGCTTGAGGCGCCGTGGTCTAGAAGAAACTGGAGGTCCTGGAGTGGTTCTGATATAATGAAATGTTTTGTGTGTGCTTTCTTGACACAAGCCTGATGGTCTGGTGATGGATAGAAAATCAGCTAATAATTTATTGTATGCACTATCTCCAAATATAGGTTTGACACTTTGTATCCGAGAGAATGTGACACATCCTGGAGATGACAGTGATGTCAGGTTGTCATGTAGACGAGAATTCTTTATATCGATAATGATATTGTAGTACGCCAAAAAGTCTGCTCCAAGTATAGGCATTGTTACGTCTGCTACGATGAATCTCCAAGTAAAATTTCTTCTTAGTCCAAAATCTAATTGTAAAATAATATCCCCGTACGTGCGTATGTTGGTTCCATTGGCTGCAGACAAAGTATAGTTTAGTTGTAGATTAAGTTTAGCAGTTAAGCGCCTTGGATACACGCAAATGTCTGAACCTGTGTCGACCAAAAACTGTACCTTAGTTCTGCGATCACTTATGAAGAGGCGACGGCTTGATGAAGAGCAAGGATAGGTCGCCATCACTCCTTGCCGTTCGAGTTTTCCTCTCTGAACGAACAATGACTCTCGCATTTTCTTGCCTTCTTTCCGAATTTGGCGTGGTACCAACATAATGTATTTCGGTTGCGCGATCTAGAAGCACTTTGCTGATAGGTGAACTTAGCTAATTGCTCTGTAAGATCTTCCACACGCTGTGTTAGTGGATCATTTTTATCAATTAGTATTTGTATGGTGTCTTGCTGTTGGTTGTTACTAGTTGCTGGGATTACTGGCGGTTGTGCAATCTCACATATTTTGTCGGCGAGCGATGCAAGTTCTTCTAGGTCTGCATTGATCTGGGTTTGCAATATTTGTTGAGTCTGTACCGGTAGTCGTTGAATCCAGATTTCTCGTAGGATTGAATTGTCGACTGTATTGATCCGACCAACGAACGAAGGTGACGTAGGAACTGAGAAGGACTTCGATCACCAAGTTCTTCTTGCAGAAGTAATTGTCTTATCCTTTGCCGTTCGGAAATTGATAGCCTTTTGATTAATTCCTCCTTTAGTTTTATGTATTTATTCTCTGCAGGCGGAGAGTTTATTACGTCTTCTACTTGGAGTAAATATTTGCATTCTAAGTGAGCTATTACATATTCATTCAATAGCCAGGTCATTAAAGATGCGGCATCGAGAAAATATTGCATCGACTATTGTGAACCACAATGTTGGTTTCTCACTCAAAAATGGCGGTAGATGCGGAGTGCGTGAGATTGCATCCAGTTCACCTTTAGAATCCTGCATGTTTTCATTCATTAGTTGTATTTTCTTGTCCTCTGTGCGGATAGTCCACTATGGTAGTTCAGTTCACACGCTATGTGGTCCAATTCAGCGTCGGGGTCACCAATTATGTGGGGTGGTCCCACATATAAAAATCAAGACACTACAATTATAAATGAAAAATAAAGTTTATTACAGAATAAATATAATAATTTACAAAGTCTTCTTGGGTATTCTTCGGTTGGACTTTCTAGTATTTCCAGGTGTTGACTGCTCGACCTGTAGAGGATAAAAGAGAGCGAGAATGGTAGCTGCTTTCGTTATATACCTGGTAGCCTGACCCCCTCCACACATTAGGGTCCCTAATAGTGTGGAAGCTAGTGTAGCTCTTTACTACTATTTTTCAATAGTAGGAGACCTAGTGTCGCTGCACGTTTTAGGCGTGTTAATTGACTTTGACGACCAATGTCAGGTCTATTTCTTCTCGGCATCGTGTACAGCTGGTATCAGATTTATATAGTATAGATATACTACTGTATATAGGGTTTGTGTTCTCCTAAATCACACTAAAACACCATACTTCTTAAGTAACTCTGTATTCGAGTTTGTGATTCTCCTAAATCACACTAAAACACTATACTTCTTCAATAACTCTGTATTCGAGTTTGTGATTCTCCTAAATCACACTAAAACACTACACTTCTTCAATAACTCTGTATTCTCACTATCTTTCACAATAACTTTGATTCGGCATTAAGCTTCAAACCATAGATAAAAGAGAGTAATCAAACAAAGCATTAATCCTTATGTTAACTAATCAACCAATATTACTTATATCATAGCTAACTTCATACATCAATGTTCGCACTGATGACCGTTGCATTCAAATTTAACTTATTACTAACATACGCTTAAAAAATGTATGAAACAGATAACTTAAAAAATAACGCAAACACATAGAAAAAATTGAATATAAGAAAATATGATGCACATAAGAAAGTAATAAAACGATTAAATGATAATCAAAGTAACACATAATCATAATGTGTAATTTAAACATAATTTTCCTCAAAACTTTAATTTTTTTCAGCTTGTTTCTTGTTCTAATTCTTAAAATATATTAAAAAATTCTACTAAATTAAATAAAATGTTAAAAACTTTAAAACAAATAATTAGTAAAAAATTCGTTAGGTGTACAACTTTGCTTTCGCCGTTTCCGATATGTGGCTGTACCGGCTGAGGCTGGTTGAACTACATAGATGATAATGCCTTCAAAGTGAGTGTGGACAATGACTAACGAATTGTCATCTCCGTTTCAGTGACAGTTGTTCTTGTTTTCGTATTATTCACGCTCGAAAATGTCCGTTTTTGCCCCAATTCTCGCCGTTTGCGGGAAGTTTTACTTTTCTGTTACAATTCGAAAAAAAATGCATCTAAGCGCATCGAATGCTCTCAGAAACTTACTGTGATGCTGCTCTGAGTGAAAGAACGTGTCGGGATTGGTTTCAATGTTTTAAAAATGGCGATTTCGATGCCGAAGACAAACATGGTGGTGGAAGAGAAAAAACCTGCAAAGATGAACAATTAGCTCTTAAAACCGGGTGAAACCATAAAAGGAGATTGCTATCGAACGCAACTGATGCGCCTTAGTCGCGAGCTAAAAGAAAAGCGGCCACGGTATCAAGAGCGACATGACAAAGTCATCCTCCAACCCGGCAATGCTCGGCCTCACGTCGCAAAAGTGGTCAAAAGTACCTGGAAACGCTGAAATGGGAAGTCTTGCCCCACCCGCTGTATTCCCCAGATGTCGCCCCTTCTGACTTCCACCTATTCCGTTCGATGGCACACGAGATTCTATAATATATTAAACTGTGTTTTTAAACATTTATGCTTAATGTTAAACACTAAATATGAAGACAATATAAAGCTATAACAATGCGTCTCTAGGTGATAAATAATACAAAAAACGATATATATTTCTCAGTCTTTATTATAATGTATATTAATTATAGTTATAAATATTTTCGTTGAATATTAATCAACTAATAAAAATTTTATCAGCTATGTAAACATTAATCTATTGAAACATTAAAGAATTTTCAGAAACGTCAAAAAATGCATAGTACATTTGTTTTTACTGAATGTATTCACAACTAAAGAAATTAGACATTAGTAGTATTTTATTGTTCAAAGAATTTTGTTTGAAATAATTTAGTAGTCCACGAATTTCTTTCTCAATGAAATTAGTAGTTCTTCTTCAATATCCCATGTCATAAATGTATATAAATTAATAAGCAATAAACAAATAACAAATATTGTTTAAATTCATCTTATTATTTTTCTCTATTAATTATATAATCAATAACCATCTTGGAGTTCTAAATGATTATAATTTAGCTTATTATCCGTTGCAATTTAAAAATTAGTTTCCGTGAAATGTTTTATGCTCAGAGTTCTCCGGTTCGTTATATAGCTATAGGACATTTTTCTTTCTTAATTTTTTTTCACATATTCACATTTTTAACATGAGTTCATATTGTAATAAATTTCAATGTGTTTATTTTGACTTTCTTTTTTTGCAATCGTGTATCCCAATTAGTGGCATCTTTGTTATCACCATGATTTGTAAATAGTATTTTCGGGAAGTAATTGGAAAAAGACCCGATCAATAACAGCATTAGTATCTGAACAACATAAAGAAAATTATGTATGTGGGATATGTTAAAACATTTTAATTTTTTCATTGCAAATTGGAATGCTGGAAAAACTTCTTTCTGTGCACGACCTATTTGGATGATGAAATCATGTAATATAATGCAAGTTCGTACTGCTGACACTTTCCATTCTTCTGTGATATTTGTTGCCATCGTTTTAGTATTGTAATGAAGAATTTGCACTGTAAATAAATTGTATTCACATATCCACATTTTTAACATGAGTACAAACTGCAACTAGTTGGTTTGGTATTTAGCCTTGAGGCAAGCTACATGAACTTCCCGATATGTGTAAATAATCGGCTTAATCCATGATACATAAATTAATTTATGAGTGATTATAAGTATTTCGAGTGGATTTATTACACATCATTGCAAACGAACACGTTAACTCGGAGTATTTTCTAAAAGCAAATTTTCAAAAATCAATAATTTTAATTAATCAATAATTATAATTGAACCAGTTTCCGTAGGACTTTAATGGTTTACTATGTTCAAGACTAAGTACACTATCGTTATACCAACTAAATTATCTAATTTTATTTTTAACAAACGTCAAAAAAAACTACTCATGTTCTCAAACTTTGATGATTTTTTAAAATTAAACTACTTGTCGTAAGGCCCTAATAATTCAGTAAGTCCTATAAGAACATGATATATATCGCCAGAAAAAGTTCCATAAAAATCGGCCTAAATTTTTTTTTCAACAGTTAATTACAAGAAAACGGCTCGGTAGATTTTTACCTAAAACTATTCAGTATCATTCCCAACTAATATCTTTCGAACAGTATTTGATTTTTTAAAATCGGTTCGGAACTATGAGCTTAAATGTGGACGAAACGTTTAACACTTTTTTCCAAATTACAAAGAAACGGCTCGGCCGATCTTCGCACAAAACTGAGAAACGATAATCCTCATCGAGATACATCAAATGCTTTTTAAATATCTGAAATCGGTTCAGGCGTTTTTGAGCAAACGTCGATGAAAGTTCTAATTTTGACTATGGTATCTACCGTCAAAAAAACTAGTGGGGTGGGTGGCATCGTGCCTTAAGGCAAATTGCTGGATCTTCCCGTACCGTAACGAAATGTTCGAGGAATACTGAATGCTTTCAAATAGATTATTATAAATATTGTAACATTGCGTCTAATATTTATAAGAATTATATAAACTGAATTGCAAAGTTGAAATTATTTGTTTAGTAGTTAAGTATATTAGAACTATAGTCAGAATTAAAAATAAAATCTGAATTATTTTCGATATACAAAAATTAAAAAAAAAAAAAAAAAAAAGTTAGAAAAAAATTTTTTTTTTCCAAAATCAATTATTTTGTTAAGACAAGCAGAAAGTTCTTTGAATCATTCAAATCGGACGCTTAGTTCTCTCAAAAACTGCCATTTTTTACATATTTAGCTCCGTATCATCGAAATGGCTAGGCCTGCCTTTGCCAAAAACTAATAAACACTTCTCCCAATCATTACTAATTGAATGTTTTTTAGATCATTCAAATCGGATACTCCGTTTTCTCAAAAAGTCGATTTCTATTTTC